TGGCTCAGTGCTCTTATTCTGTGATTGTAGGGTCTCTTTGCAGAAAATTTCAAAACTTATTTCTAGGTCAATGGCCCTTGAAAGCATTTTCCCCATATTACATGTCTTGTAGCTGTTTTGAATTTAATATTTTGAGTTTGATTATGCCTAAGAGAATGAGTTTGTTCATTTGATTTTTTGTTATGGTAAAATTTTAGATGATATTTTTAATTTACCACATTCTTGGATTAACTGTATTATTCTTGGTATCCACTTTTCATTTACTAAGTTTATGCTTCTAGCAGTCTTATTCTCAACTTTATAATTATTATTGTGTGTGTGTTGTTTTTAGAAAGGCTGTGTTGTTAGGATCATTTGTTGTCAGATCTATTCTTCCTATTTGCTAAATAATGCTGGTTACAACAGTTTTTAGTGGCTATACTTATTTTGGTATGCTCCTTTATGTACAGCAATTTGTGAGAACTTTCATCGACGTAAGTCAATATCTGAATCCATTTTAGTGGTCGTGTTGTGCTTCTTGTTCCTCTCTTGTGATGCTTAGATGAATATTATTTCTGATATCATGTGGTTGGCTTTACTTTTCAAACTGAGCAAGCTGATTGTGTTCTTCCCAGAGTTTTTCTTGATAAGCCCATTCTCCTTCCTAGTGTTGATATATATTCAGTTGGACAGTTGTAATGTTTTATATATTTGTGCTCTTTGTTTTATTGCAAGATCCTTATGTACTGTTTTGCAGACTTTCAGTTTCTAATCCTCTCTTCCTTTTTTCTCAATACTTTTGTTTTTTGGCTTTGTCTCTTCTTACTTATTTCTTCCAAGGGCTTTCTTCTGAATCAGGCAATTCTAAGCTTCCTTATCAAACAGGCTATTAAGGATCCTGCAGTTATCTTTTTCTAGACTTTATTCTTACCTTTTTGCCATTCCAAAGAAGACTTAAGGAAAGTGGCATTTTGTCATTATTATTTCAAGTGTAAACTCTGATAATGTTATTCAAGATGAAAAATCCTTGGAAGATATTTCTAGCATTATGAGTGGACCAGTGTATGATGCAGGTGGCCATTCATTTGGGATGTCATGCCTTTTACTTTGATTTATGTAGGGTGGTTGTTTTACATGCTGTGAGCTCTTCTTTTTGTAGTACCACAGCTAAGCATGTTTTCATGGCTTTTGTTACTTTTATTCATTTTTTGAAGTCATTTTCACTTCTAGATGAGCAAACAAATGATTGACTTTAGAATATTTCCAAGAGCAATCTCGTCTTTTCTCTGAGAAAAATACTACTTATATGACTTTGTTTGTGAAATTCTCAAAGATATATCTTCTCTTAACCTTTTACCTTGAGCATTTTGAATTTCTATGTTTAGTTTAGACTCCACTAAATAGTTTTTTTTAAGAATCAAATCAGTCAAGTATTTTTTCACATTACCTGCAAGGTTGTATTTGTTGAAGTATTTGTTTCTTTGGAATACCATCATCTTTATCATGGCCCACATTCATTTTGTAGAAGGCTTTTTCTGTTCAATCAAATATTTTGAGGAGTTATATGTTCTCTTAGGTTTAATTTCTTGAAAAAATTAGATCTCCAGCATTTAATGTTTTAATTGTTTCAACATAAAAATTCAAATTCTTCCCTATCTTGTGGATATATACATAGTTCATGGGTTGGGGGAGCTTTTGATACTTTAGACATTATCTATTGAATAGTATCTGTTTCTTTTGAATCTTCTACATTAATGGTTGGTCTACCAAATTTATTTTACAGCATCTTATTTTCAGTCTTTTCAGGTCATGCAATTCTGAAATGCCTTGACAGCTCAACTGTAGTTTATTTGAATGTCTTTGTTGATATCTTTATTTTCAAACTTATTAATAATACCTTTGGGCTTGTAACCATTCCATTCACTTGAAGTCATATTATGTTTTTGGCATTATTATTTTTCATCAGATTTTTTATCATCTCCAGGTTTTACCTGTTTATATGTCTGTTCATCCTTTTGGTTTTTTCAATGTTTCTTCAATTGCATTACTCACTCATTATAATTTTTTAAAATAAAATCAACCAGTTATTAGATTCCCTTTTTGTAGTTTCCAGATCAAGATCCTTTATCTTCGAAGATGAATGGTTTAAGCCACGGTTAGTCATATCACTTTTTGTGTGTTTATGTGACGTGTTTTCAGTGTTCTACTCTAACTTTAATCATGGACTAAACTATTCATCTGATGATGGCCTTTTAACCAGCTCAATCATGGTTTGCATTTCTCACTCAGTTGTCTTTGGAGAAATTCTTTTCTATTACTTTTTTTCTCTAGTGCACTGTTGGATTCTTCTTTTCAAAGTCTAATAACTTTTTATCAATATTCAGTTGTTGTTCAGTCACTTGAAAAAGAAGGACACTGTTGTTTTTTATTTCATTGTATTTCATTGGGCATTGAGACAACAGTAATGAATGCAGTATTGAGTGTGTCATAGGGTAGTTTTAAAATTACTATACTGGCCCGATTATAGGGCGATCCCAAATATAAGGCGACCCCCATTTTCAGAAACCATGGGAAATAAAAAAAATTTAGTGTCATAACAACCTTTTTTTAGGTCCTCAATATAACTGAACAGCCTGCAGGTGGATTAGTTGCAAGAATTAGTGATGACCTTGAGCGAACATCTGGCTCACATGCGTAGATGGATCCTGTCTGGACATTGAGAAATGTGACAGGCTAGAGTAGGGGAAAGGGCCCTGTGGTCAGCCACGATTATATGGCAACTCTAAATTTTACAGCCTGTTTATTAATTTAAAAACATCGCCTTATAATCTGGCCAATATGGTAATTCAAACTCCCTCATTTCTTCACCCTGAAGAATATCTTTGTCTTTCACTTTCCACCATTAAAAAAATCTGGTGTTTTACTAATGCACATGAATTGGAAAGTAATTTGTGTAACATATAGTGCATTAATTGTAAACTGCCACTTTGAGGATTCATCATTTCTTGAGTTTGCTGTTCTTCATTGTTTCTCGATTTGCTGTTGTAATTTGTCTCTACTTAGTTTTCTGTGACTATTTCAGTGAGTTTTGTAACAGAAGATTACCATAGTAGATTTCTCTACTTTTGTGACTGGTGATTTATTCTACTGATTTTCATACTTCACGGAAACTGTGAGTGTGTATTTTATTATTATTATCTTTCATATTTTAGTTTCACAAGCCTACAGCAAAATTGGCTGTATTTTCCACCAAATCCTAGACAGATGTACTATATGAAAGGCTGCAAATGTCCATGACCTATTTAAAAAGTTGGTTATTTTTCATTGTTAGTTGATTGTGCCTATAAATACATAATATATGTGATGTTGTTGTGAGTGGCTTACATTGAACTTGACACTTGTTAAATGCGTGTTTACAAGGAAACCTTGAGCACAAAACCACCTGGCTCAGTAAATAATAATGGTTGGGTGAAGAAAAGGTAATGCAACAGTAAGCTGTTGAAAAACATGTAGCATTCAACTGAATGCATATGTATGTATGTAGCTTAATATTTATTCTCCAAAAATGGACATAAAAACTTAAGAAACAAGTTTAACTCCATGTCTACAATACTTATTAATTTTAGTGATGTCAAAATAGAGATTTATAGCTTGGGAAAATATTGTAGATACTATTTTCAGCCTAGTTTGTTTATCTTTTTTTTAGTCCTTTGTTGCAGGCTTGAAAATATAATTCTTTGCATTTTGATTAAACTGCAAAGTTTAATATATATTATATATATTATATATATATTATATTAGATAATATGGTCCATATTCCCCCTTGTTAAATTTACAATTTTTAATTATCTTGTCTTTATTTCAGTTGTATCTTTTTTTTAGTTACATTATTTTTGATTGGTATCTGCTTGACAAGAGATAATCTGCTTACCCTGATAATTAGTATTTTCTGAGTGATTAGTACTGGCTTTGAAATTACAATTTTTTACAACTTCCTGGTTTGTAGGGGATCATTTAGAGAGACTTCCATCTCATAGATGTAGGTTCTGTAGTTAAACATAAATACAACACAGAAGCAGATTAATTTATTTCAATTAAGTATTTTTAAAGTTAAGATGAATTTACAATATATGCTTTTATTTGCACTTATCTTCCCTTCGTCATATTTGGTTATAGGTCTTTTATGAATATGTAGGGTTAAGGGCACAGACAACTTTTAGTTTAGTCATATGTCATTTAAAAAAGCTATTAGATGAAAAGTAATCTTTTAAACAGGTGAGTTACAGTGTATTAGCAGTGTACACTATTTTTATGTTGTTTTTTTACTTACTCTAGCCCAACTTTACTATTATTTTACTAAATACTTACATATCGGTGTGTATGCGCTTTCTTTACATGCAGTGCTACACCCAAGAATGCAAGTAAAAAGGCTGCACAAATGCAGTAAAAGTACAGAGGATGTATAGCTGTTTTTGTGACTTTTATTACTAAATAAATATTATTATTGTTCTAAAAATTTATTGTAGTGGTTAATGAGAAAAAAGAATGCCAAATTAAACATAACTTGGGTAGGAAAACATTGAAACTGTATGCATGGTTTGCAGATTTGTCATACCATTAATTGAAAGGTTCATTAGAAAGAAGAAAAAACTTATTCAAAGGAAGCACCAAGTAGGATAACAGAAAAAAAGTACTCACTGTACACTCAAAAATTGTGAATGATTTCTCAATGCAATAGGTAAAAAACATTATCAAAGTAAACCAAGACATTTCTCACACAAGCAGAGTGAAGTATTAATCTTATGCTATATTTAAAAATCTTTTGATTCATTGTTCTTGATTTTATATATATATATATATATACATACAAATAATGATTTGTTAAATTGGTATGAAAAAACTAACTCTGGAGTTATATTACTGCAAATGATTTCCAAAAAATTAAAGTTTATTGTATTTTTAGATAACGCAACCATATTCAAATGTTTATTCTTCTTACGTGACTTTCTATTTCTTTACAGGTGAAATACTTGATATTCTGGGTGTGGCATTGATGTTTTCACTATAATCACAAATAATTCAAACATGCAAACTGCAAGACCTGCCATTGCTCATTATATTCCATTGATAAGGGGATCTTGGAGTGTAATGTCTCTTGGTAGAAGACTCTATTACATGCCAATAGCTGTAACTCAGATTTATGAATTACACACCCAAGTTTTCTTATGGAAATCTGAGAAAAATGATGTATCCTCACTCTTCATGCCTGTAAAAGTGTTAAGAAATGCAGATGACATCAGTGTTGGAGAAGAACTTTCATCAAAACTTAAAAAAGAAGATATACTTAAAATTTTAAATCAGTTTCATAAAAGGCCTCAGATCAGAAAATTGAGTGAAGAAAATGGCTTAGATAACAGGCTGTTTGAACAAGCTTTTATTAGTTTTCGTAAGTTTTGTATGGATTCAGAGAATTTGCCAACTGATCTCCACATCATTGTGAGTGATGTAATTCATGGTAGTGGTCATGTTGATGATATTGTACCATTTTTTTTAAAACATGCCCATCAAGTTTTCCCTCATTTGGAATGTATGGAAGAATTGAAGAAAATCTCTGACCTAAGGTTACCAGCAAATTGGTACCCTGAAGCCCGCAGCATCATCAGGAAAATAATTTTTCATGCAGGGCCAACAAACAGTGGGAAGACTTATCATGCACTGGAACGTTTCATTACAGCAGAATCTGGGATTTATTGTAGCCCACTTAAACTACTTGCTGGAGAAGTTCAAGAAAAGACAAATTCTAGAGGAACTCCTTGTGATTTAGTAACTGGAGAAGAACGTAAAAATGCCAACCCTGATGGAACTCCTGCTAGGCACATTGCCTGCACTGTAGAGATGGCACCCACTAACATTCCATACAAAGTTGCAGTTATTGATGAGATACAAATGATTCGAGACTTTGGGAGGGGATGGGCCTGGACACGAGCTTTATTAGGCCTTGTTGCAGAGGAAATTCATATCTGTGGGGAAGCAGCAGCTTTAAATCTGATAAAACAAATGGTTAATGAAGTTGGAGAAGAAATGGAAATACGCAGGTATGAACGTCTGACAAAACTTACTATTGAAGACGGTGCACTGGGTAGTCTAGATAATGTAGAACAAGGGGATTGCATTGTATGCTTCAGCAAAAATGACATATTTTCTATTAGTCTTCAGTTAGAACGAAGAGGTCATAAATGTGCTGTCATTTATGGTGCACTTCCCCCAGGCACCAAACTCGCTCAAGCCAACAAATTCAATGACCCTTTAAATCCTTGTAAGATTTTGGTATCAACAGATGCCATAGGCATGGGACTGAACTTAAGCATTCGAAGGATCATATTTTACTCCGTTATGAAACCATCCATGAATGAAAAAGGTGAAAAAGAAATGGACAATTTAACTACATCACAGGCACTTCAGATAGCAGGTAGAGCAGGAAGATATGGCACCCAGTTTGATGAAGGCTTTGTTACTACCTTTCATGCTGAGGATCTTCCAGTTTTAAAAGAGATAATGTCCAGACCTGTGCAACCAATTACAGCAGCAGGTCTACACCCAACAGCTGATCAGATTGAGCTGTTTGCATATAATCTTCCTCATGCTACTTTAGCTAACTTGATAGACATTTTTCTAAGTCTGAGTCAGGTTAACACTGCTTCATATTTTATGTGTAATATAGAAGACTTTAAGTTCCTAGCAGACATGATTCAACATGTTCAACTACCTTTAAGAGCTCGCTACGTCTTCTGTTGTGCGCCAATAAATCGTAAGATACCTTTTGTATGCTCAATGTTTCTAAAATTTGCCAGACAGTATAGTCACAATGATCTTCTGACTTTTGAATGGCTAAAGACAAGCATTGGTTGGCCTTTTAATCCACCACAAACAATAATGGACTTAGTGCATCTGGAAGCAGTATTTGATGTTTTGGATTTGTACTTGTGGTTAAGCTACAGGTTCCTAGACCTCTTTCCTGATGCTGAGCATGTTCGGATGATACAGCGTGAGCTTGACAAAATAATTCAGGAGGGTGTATATAGCATCACTAGTTTACTTCAGACTGGAGAATTTGAGAAAGACCAGGTTGTTACTGAAGAACAGCAACTTTCAGGACATAATGAGGATATACGGAACAAATCTAGGCATATAAGGGGTAATGATGTTTTTGTTAAAGCAGCAAGTTCTGTTAGTATTGGAAAAGGACAACTAACACAGCAACTTTTAGATAAAGGACTTCTAACTCACCAGATGTTAGAGCAACTTCAGAAGGAGTGGGAAGAAGGTGGTAATAGCAGTGGTAGGAAAATAGTAACAAAAGGAAAAAAAAGCCAAAGAGAACTACAAAGTAGAGATGTAGTGTTGAAATAAAAGTACTGTGCATTTTCTATTGTTACATAAAATTATAAAGTAGCATATCAAACCTGTCTGAAGTGGTCATTTTTATAATGAATTTAATATTGATAAAATGCCTTTTATTGAGAGAAAAACATATGTACTGCTTTACTAATATACCTTTTACTCTGCACCAGTCGAAAAGACACACTAATAAACACCAAAAATTAGACAAGTGTCTTTTCATTTAGAATGATTTACTTCATACACACACTATCTGTTAGTTTGTGTAATAGATTTTACATGTATAACTAATTTTTACATTGCACTAAAATATGGGAAAACATTATGCAATGAAATTATTGGATTAGTTATTAGCTTCTTAGACTTCCTTTGGTTAGACTGTGGACAGCTTAACATGTAATGCTTTGGGTAGTTTTATGTATTCTGGTTTTAATTTTTATCCTGAATATATTTTGCATGTTTCTTACTATGAAATTAATTTGGGGAGTAAAATAAATTATATTCCTCTAGTTTTACATGTTTTCTAAATGAACACATTTCTTCTATTAGTAACAATTCTATGGCATAGTTGATTTATTATGTGAAAGATTTTTATTGGGCAATGTTTTGGGTTTGAAACAGTTCATTATTATATTTATGTGAAATTTAGTGATTCTATTACAGAGGTCAAGTATTTTACATTTGAAATGATTTTGGAGCCTCACCACATCATTACAGTATATGTTACCATTCTTGATAATGCACTGTCTGAATACTGTGCATCTTTGAAATAGCCCTTCAGGGTAGCTTACACTGTAAGATATTATTCTGTACAAATAACACCATTCTTCTGTGCATGCTTTCCATAAACAATCTTTTATATGAAGACAATGGTTTCCCAGCATTCACTGCAAAAGTCTAAAATCACAGAAAATCATAAGCACTGTACTTGGCACTTTGAATGGTATGTCTTCATATGGAATGGCATGAATTCCCACTTCCTTCTCCAACAGTTTGAGGTACGTGGCAGTTTAATAGATATGTTGGGAAGTGACTTTTGTACATATTATTTGTTTCTTTTTGATTATGGAATCTCACTTGTTACAAGATGCCTTACTTTGCTTACCGTGGCTGGGATTTGATGTATTGCAAGTCTCTTTGTAGATGGTCCTGTTACCCCAAGTTGATCCATATTCCTTTGTTTTAAAATGCCATTAAGTACAAGAAATATCATTGTCTTGGAAACTCCAAATCCCCAATCTGAATGCATCTTTATGTTCTGAGTGTATAAATATTTTGCAACAGAAAGGACTGTTACATACCTTTCCCAAAAGCAATCAGTATTTGGTGGTATCATGCTGCTCAAAAATAGTCAAACAATGTAAAAATGTAGTTCTGATACATACAATTCTACCACTTTATATCAGTTCTGGTTGCCTTGTGGGTTGCTGATTTGCATATTCAGTATTGTTTTAATATAATGTATTCAACCCTCTGTATAATGCAGAGATATGGCTGATCAGTAAAATTAAATGTACTTAATGCTAATAAACAGTTGGAGTTCTAACACAATATTTTGATGTTGAAATTAAATCATTGAAAATTAATTTAATATCATTAACTTGTTTTTATCATTTAAGTATGTTTAAGATTTACATGTTTGCATTCATATTAAAACATCAGTGTAGCTTCTTTGTGAAACGTAAACCTAGGCCTAGACTAATCATGTTGTAAGAATAGATAGCTCAATACTGTGAGCTAACTTAATGCTTAAGGATCACTAAAAAATAACTTGGCATTTAGAGTACTTGTTGCTGTATGTGTATGATGTTGTAGTTGAAAAACTGTTAATTCTGAGTTTGGTTTTATTTAACTTTGCATTTTCTTCACTTTTAATTATGTTCAGCCTTATTTCCTGAGACCTTTCTTTCTCAGATGCCATTTAGTTTAAAATTAGTCTTATTTTGTGACTTCATTCAGTTTACTGGCTGTCATTCTCATTTTTTATTTTGTATTCAGTTCTATTTGATTTATAATAGTTTTAATCTTGCATCCTGTTTTATATCTATGATATTCTATTATTTTTTTAGTGCTTGTAGCAATAATTCATGTGTTCTCTATTTTAATTTTGATTTATCTGATTTCATTTATTTTGAATTTTGTTTTATCCAGTTTCATTTATTTTGATGTAATGTTTTAGGTCACTTAATTTCTGCTTGGTTTAACTAGTTGTTAACCCTTTGTTGTATTAATAAAGTTTCCCTTTGTTGATGTTGTGTGTTTCATTTGTTATGCATGTGTTTAGAAGTTAATTACAAGGGATTAAGAACTTGCTAGTTAACTTAAAATTTTGCCTTTCAAAGTTCAAGGTTAAGGCCCCAAGATGCCCTGATTTAGCAAAGGAGTAGTTGCTGCAGATGAAAGAAATGCTGATTTCACCCTTCCAAAACTATTAAACAATATATCTTTACTTAGATATATTCAGGTAAAGTTTGTGCAGGTATTTTGTTTGTAGATGGTTAGTTTGTATCTTTGTAAACAGGATGCATAAACTTTTACCCATCTGTTGGCTTAAACAAAGGTTACATGTCACAATGATTATTCGGTAAGGCTTATACTTGCTTGATTCTGTTTCTGTGTCATGCCTTCCTGGATTGTGGTCATCCTGATTTTAAGGGGTGGTGTAGAGATCTATGCAAGTTAATATGGATTGGGGATTTATTTCTCACAAATATGTGTAATTTAAGGTGACTAAATTTTGTAAACCAAAACCAGTGACAATTGTATTTATTCCAGATACAGGTACAATACTGGGTGTTCTTGGAAGGTCTGGGGTTTCCCTCATTAGAATTTGAATAAACTATTTGAATGTTTTCAAGAGGCATATCTAGGTTTTGCTGACTTCTGTGCTAAGTTGTTTGAGTATGGTATCTGTTATGTGGATGTAGAAGGCTTCTTTTATCTTTTTCCTTGTTTTGTGTGTGGTTCATATCATTTTAGTATTATCCCAAGTCATATGGCTCTTCTCTAGCATGATAGGCTGTGCAGATAGTTCGGTATTACTGTGTTATGTATGTCAACTATTCTTCTAAATTCAAAATTTTCTTTGTCTTTTTGCTTCTACAATGTATTAGAATCCACTTTCACAAGGTGTATTGTAATTTTTTTTTCCTTCTCCATTGGGTCCTTTTAGTCATTGGTTTCTCAATCATATGAGTGTTGTTGTTGATGGTCAAGTGATAATTATAAATGTAGTACGTACATTGCACCTTATAATACCACCCACCAGCACATTTTTTCGACCAAATGGCTGTCCTAACTGTAATTGAGGCTAATCTCAGCCATCTGATCAGGAAGTTGATGGCTCAGCCAACTGTCAGAGTTGTCTCTCACCTTTAAACTTGGCACTTCCTTATCTTACTTGCCATGAACATCTATATGAGTACTCTTAGCCCTTTTCTCCTTAACCAAATGTATGATTGAGTCAAGCACTGAACCATACAGACTTCGTATCAAGTATTGCACTGCCTGGCCATGAATATAACCATTCCAGAGAGTGAAATGTCTGAAATGATTATGTGTCTAACAGTAACGAGTGCTGCATGCTAGATATTTTCGCATCCATGTGCAGTGGCATAGCAAGAGGGGGGCAGTTGCTCCCGGGCGCAGGTGTGAAGGGGCGCAAAATTTCCTCTGGCCTATAATGCTTATTAATTAATAATTATGCCCTCCCCTAGGATATAGCGCAACTGCCCTACATTAAGTAAATACGACACAGTGTTACGTTATTTGTGTGTATTACCCTTGCAGTTTTAAGTTTTAAAAGCCGCCCACTGAAATACAGTGAGACCCAATTGACGTACAGAAGTAAATTACACCATTCCCTCATTCATCTGTAGATCAAGTACAAGTCCTAGAGTACAACGTACAAGTAAGTGTATGTTCGACAAAAAGAAAATACGAGATTGATGTTACATATTAACTGGTGTGCAAGATTGGCAATATAATGCAACAGGCAAGATCTAGATCGAGTAAACATTATAGGCCTAATGTAGTGGTTTGTAATTGTATTGGCTGATTGTAAATCATGTCTTACACCGACTAATGTACTAGACTTTAGGTCTAATGGCAGTTATAACTTTATTTCTAGACCCTAGGTCCATCATCATACAAATTGTAGCCTATATTATAGGCATACTTAGACCTATACTAGCTATTAAACTAGGTATTGCACTGGGACAGATCTAATGACTAAGTTAATAGATCTAGATGTAACATTTGTTCTAAAAGTTAGGCCTGATAAATCTAAATCTAGAATTGATGAGGCAGGGTTATATCTAGATCTGAGTAAATTCAGTACAAGGTGCTTTCAATCTATGCACCCAAATCTAAGGTCTAATTTAGATGTATAAAGCTAAATTTCTGTCATTATTATTACATCTAGATCCAAACCTAAGAATAAAAAGATGGAAATAACAGGTCTAACATTAATGATAGATCTAGATGTAGTAGCGACTTAATCTAGGAACTGTAATCTAGCACCAGTAATTAGTTAGCTTATATTTAAGTTTTCTCATTCTATCAAAACCTTTAATATTAAATATAGCCTTTGAGCCTCCAGACTTATGTTATGATTACATCCTTCTCCACAGTGTGTGTAATTTTCATTCGAGCAATTTCAGACTTGTTTCCTGTAGTGTTCGTGTAGTTAAACCAATCAAGTTTTAAGTGTGATTTAGCAACTGTCAGTAATTTATATGGTGCTCATAAGCATGATTTACCAGCATATACACTCATCTGCATTGATTTTCTTATTTTTGTGTCACATTAATTAACATGAGTATGGGTGGTCTAAATAATGGTAGTTAAAGTGCAACCCGGTCCAGATGTGCCTACCTAGTCCTGAGTTGCAACTATAATTGTATAATTTAAATGTAATTTGTGGTTAGGAACTTAGAACAGTAGAATGCTATCTTTCATCTGATAATTTGCATGTTGCAACTAAATAGTGTAGTCAGTATTTATTCTTTTAGCCCATTATGTCGAAAAAAGAAAGTGGGACACAGGGATGCAAAAGACGTGCACAATTTGCAATTTCGATGGTAGAGTCAAGCAAATTGACGAGAATTTTCTTTGCTGGAAGTGATGACATAAGTAAGCCAGCATCTGTTCCTTTTGATGGCAGCAAAGAGGTCAAAGTGCAAGACTGTGAACATGCTATTTCATTTGAAAAAAAGAAAACAATGAAAAAACTGTTCTCTGTCCTGTTGAAAGCTACAATA